CAGCAAGGTGAGAAGAGAGGACCTTTCTCTCAATAATTCCAGCAAAAGTCCCAGGGTTAACTCTCATTTGACTCTGTTTGGGTGACAGGCTGATCCCTAAACTAATCACTGTGGCAGGAGATTGGAATGTCCTAATTGGCTATGTTGCGTTGCAGGATCTGGGATTGGGATAAACCCCACTTGAATGACCAGGACTGAGATTGGTGGCGAAAGTCATTTTAGCTTCAAAGTGGAGTGAGGGGTGTGGTAAAGGGGGAGTCGAGTAAAACTAACAGAGAGCCATTATACAGATTTTCTGGTTCTGGTGAAGGGAATAAGAGGGAAGCTAACAAGGATTTCTAAAGGGAAAAATGGCAAGCACAACCTGGGGACTGTGGCATACCGGCAAGGGCTGGGCATGGAGACAGTAGTCATCATGCCTTCACATACCCATCCTGGTTCTAGACATAGGGCCCACTTTCTCCTGAGTCTGTCTCAAGAGAGTGGAGGAACTGGAGAGAGCAGGTGGAAGGGCAAATGGCAGCCAGCTCTTCCAAGCCAGGCCTATGGCAAAGAGACTGCATGTCAGAGTTGCGAGAGGGGCCCCCCTGCTTCCTAAGCGGCCGGATTGTGAGACATTTGCAAAGATGTTAACCCCACATAAAAAGTGTGCCATTTGATAATTATGTAAATTAGCTGGCAATTAGATAATGTCACTCACTTTCCTGCTAGATTCCCACATAACAGATGAGCATTTGCGCTTCTGCACCAGCCCAGGCCCTCCGTGTAGGCTCTGGGGCAAACCACCCGTACACCTACAGCTGCCTGGGCCATCCTATGGCTCAAGAGAGGGTGGAAGCTGGCTGACTGGGTGGAGAGGGCTCTCTGCTCCCATTTTCCCATTTCTTGAGCCTTGTGTAGCTCTGCTAGAAGGCTAGAGAAGGCTAGAGAATAAATGCTGGGGCAGTTGGCTCGAGGCCTGTGCTGTTCAATGTAAGGTCATCTTTAGCTTTTGGCCCTACTGGCAGTTTCTCAGAGGTCATGGGAATGTCCACAATCCAAGAAAGCAATGGAAGGGCAGACCATAGGGTGTCAAGTCTACATAAACCCAATTCTGATGTTACCAGTCCTGAAATCAGATGCTGCCTGGCACCTGCAGGAAAGAAAACTTGGTTTTCCTCAGCCAGCCTTTTTGATCCCCATTGATGCAGGCAGGAGAGCATTGGTATCTCCAGTGCTGGTCTGGGCTGGAGGGAAAGACTGTGAGACACTCAGCAGGCAGGATGGAGCTGACACCCCAGAACAGGCTGGGAAAATTCCCATGATCCTCCTTGGAGGGGAGTGTTCCTGGGATGCTTAGTTCTTCCTTCATAGGTTTCTTCAGATCACTAGGCTTGTGCAGCTTTGCCTTTTTGGGTCATCTGAGGTTGGCATCCAGAGAAGTGTGGGGGCTCAGGATTGCTGTTGTTGTGTACAGTGGGGTGGTGTGGAGGCCACTGCATGGAGCAGAAGTCAGATGACCCACAGGGATGTTCTTCAGCTTCTGTTTTCTTTCATTCTCTCTACGTTTCCTCAGCTCCCACTCCACGCCCAGGTGCTGTGGCAGGCACCTGGGTGAAGCAGACCCTGCCCACAGGGAGCTCCCTGTCAAGCTTCTAGAACCTAGGCTCTTCGTCACTGTGTTTTGTGTCTCTGCAGCATACTTGACCCCACTATTTTTTTGATGCCCTTGAGGGCAAGAATAGTTTCTTACTCTGCTTTGATAGAACAGTGTCTGGAATGAATCAGAGCTCAATAAACATATTGAGTTGAGCAAGTCATTTAATTTATATAGACAAATAAGTGACTTTCAGAGGCTCAGAGGTAAATTGATAGCTAGTATAGACCAGTCTGGAAGTTTCAAGCGTTTCCCATGTCCCTGCTCGTCCATAAGATTGGGCCCTCCATCTTTACGTCCTTTCCTCCCACAGAAGGCCCCCTTGGCTTTGGCCATCTGAGCCTGGGCCTTGCCCGTCGGTCAGTAGACTCCTTGGTCTAAACTGGCAGGACAGGGAGTGGAGAGGGAAGCCCCCTCAAGAGCTGGAGCAGCCAGGGGAGTGTCACTGAGAAAATTGTCCCCAGCCTCTTGGGCTTACACATCCTGGGCTCCATTATGGCCATGTGATTTTTATATTCTTGGCTCATTAATAATTCCAGGATTGGAGTACCCCCTGCCCTGTAAGAGGCTTATTCCTTCTGCTCACACTTGCCTCGCTCCCCCTTTTCTTGCCCCCCACCCCGACTTCTCTAAATCAAATGCATGATGGGGGGAGGGGACAGAGAAGCAGCTGTCCTCTGAGCACATTCCCTGAAAGTGTCCCCTTTGATTTTGATTTAAGGAAATACGTGGATGTGGTAGTTGTTGAAAGCAGAAGGAGTCCTGTTTTCAGACCAGGGTTTCCCCTCCCCCTGGGATGTTGCCTTTTGCCTTGGTTGCCATACCTCACCTCATACAATGATCACATTCACAGAGACTGGGTCGTGTCTCATCACCTGACCTCCTGATAGTCCACCTCTGGCTTCATGTCTTCTCACTCCAACAGCACCAGCCTGTTTGCTGTTCTTCACACATACCAGCCTGCCCCAGTCTCAAGGCCTTTGTGCTGTTACTTCTGGAACATTCTTCCCATGGCTGATTCCCTCAACTCTTGAGATTTCAAGGCTTTCCTGAAATCTCACTTTCTCAAAGACTCAGATTTGTGGTATTTGACTATTTCCATGCTGTAAATACTCCTAGCATAGTTGATTTCATGCTACCAAAGTGACCTTAACCAAAACTTTCTGAAGTTTTAACAGTTGCTTCTGACAAAGCCCACATGATTTGGCACTTGTACACTGCTGTGTCTGTGACCCATGCCACAGTTTGGGAAACACTGCTCGGATAAAACCTTTTCAAGAAGAAAGGTTTTCCTTATGCTGGATTTAATCAACCTCTTATTGATTTGGTTTGTTTGTTCAGTGGGAATAGATGTTTGTTCCTGGTTAAGGAATATTTTCCTCTTCAAAGCAGGGGTAATAGCTACCTTTGCTAATGTGGTCATCATAAACATAGTGGACGTAATGGTCTAATAAGGGACTATGGTGAATTATCAAATGTGTCAATTAATAAGTAGCAATTTGTGCATCTCTCGGAAATTATACTCATTGCTCTTATTTGAACAGAGAGGTCTCCTTTTGGCTAGGTGGGCCAGAGTCTGCTAGAGTCAACATCTAGATCACCACCCACTCAACTAGGTGTTGGTGCATTTCCAACCAGTATAAAATATATGTAATATGCTCTAGGTTTGTGCTTTTCCTCATTTGTTGTTTATTCTGCAGTTTCTGTAGTTGTTAAAAAAGTACCTGTGGTTTTATATCCTGCCCCTCCTCCACAGACATCCACACACTCATGCATGCACAGACACATAAGGACTCTTCTTCCCATCCCTTTCAATCCAGAAATAAGAAAGTCAAGAATGTGGTATTTACTGATCACCTATTATGGATATAACTTCACGCTAGGATCTTCCCATACATGATCTCATTGTATCCTCTCTCCAACCTTAGAAAGAAACTATTTTCCTCTGCTTTACCAAGGAGGGAATAGAAGCTCAAACAGGTTAAGAAGTTGGCTCAAAGTTGCACATAAGAGAACAAGGATTCAGGCATAGCTTTTCTTTAAGTCTCAAAACACATTTTTTTTCCTATAAGAACTTTTCACCAACATGTATTAAGAGATGAGAGTTGTTTTGCTCACTACTCACTTTCTAATTTATTTCTGCTGATTTTTATAAATATTTCTTTCAAAAACTTAAAGGTGGGTATCTGTTTTAGGCCGCCTACACCCAGGCATTGGATTGTCAAATTGAAAAAGAAAAATCTAAAAGGAAATCAGTGTCATTTCATGCCTTTTAATAGGTAAATAGTTAAAATTATGTGTGTATTCGAGTGTATAAAATGTTAGCACTTACCTTAAAAGTAAATTTTATAGATGTGACCCTGTGCTATGGATACTGTAAAAATGTGCTGATATGGCTTTGGGAGTTTTATACTATTTTTGCATATGGGAAAACCACGTGCATCATTAGGCACTGAGCTCAGGGTCCTGCGACAGCTCTGGAAGAACCTGGGCCCTCTTTCCCATTTAAAGCACCAGGTACTATGGGAATCACTAGAGTAGCCTGGCTCCTAGTCAGCCATTCATCAATAATTGTGAAATAAGGTGCAATGTTTTCCTGACACTGCCCTAATCTTTCTCTTCTTTCTGCCTACCTCCCTTCTCCCTGCAGGTCTTTTTCTGGAGTCCTGAGAGGCAGGTTATGGGCAGGACTGCCTCTGGCCCGCACCATGAAGCCTGAACCTGCTTCGGCTCTGCCCTGGGCCCTGCCCTGCCTGAGCACTCAGCTCTGGGCTTCCCCGCTCCCTGCAGCCCCCTGCTGCTAGGAGGTAAAGCTTCAGGACCGGTTCTTGGCCTGTTTCTGCCTTTCACCTGGCTCACCTCACCACTGCTCACGCCTCCTCCATCACGGCACCCCCACCCCAGCCCTCTCCCCGGCCTCCCTGGCTGGGGCGTTTGGGGGTCTGTTGGGAGGAGTGCATTGCTGAAGCCTTCCACCCACCGTGTACCTTCTCCTCCTCGAAACAAGGCCTCCGGATCCACATGGATAGCTGAGATCTTTTCTTGGAGAAGGACACTTGGCTCCTCACTCTAGACCCCACTTACCCACCTGACTTTCCTCCTCTTCTGCTGCCCTGCCTTCTCCTTCTGCCTCTTTGTCGAATTTCTTGCTCGTGCGCCCATCTGGGGCTGTCTTTTCCACTTTCCTTCTTCCTCACCCTCTGGATATTCGTGTGTGTGCGCCTCCGTCCTCTTGTGTGCTCTCTGTCCCTCTTCCAGGCCCACCCCCCTTTCCCCTGTCCCTTCTGCTGACAAGAGGGGTCGTCCCCTGAGGCCTGTTCCCCGCCCGTCGTCGGTTCCCCTGGGATCCGTCCTGGCAGCCACAATGAGCTTCGCCGCAAACTCGGTTTTCTTCACCCTGAAGGTGAGCGTCCTGCTGGGGTCGCTGCTGGGGCTCTGCCTGGGCCTCGAGTTCATGGGCCTCCCCAACCAGTGGGCCCGCTACCTCCGCTGGGATGCCAGCACCCGCAGCGACCTGAGCTTCCAGTTCAAGACCAATGTGTCCACGGGGCTGCTCCTTTATCTGGACGACGGTGGCGTCTGTGACTTCCTCTGCCTTTCCCTGGTGGATGGCCGTGTGCAGCTCCGCTTCAGCATGGACTGTGCGGAGACCACGGTGCTGTCCAGCAAGCAGGTGAACGACAGCAGCTGGCACTTCCTCATGGTGAGCCGCGACCACCTGCGCACAGTGCTGGTGCTTGACGGCGAGGGCCAGGCGGCCGAGCTGCAGCCTCAGCGGCCCTACATGGATGTGGTCAGTGACTTGTTCCTTGGCGGAGTCCCCGCGGACATACGACCTTCTGCCCTGACCCTTGATGGAGTACAGGCCATGCCCGGCTTCAGAGGATTAATCCTGGATCTCAAGTATGGCAACTCAGAGCCTCGGCTTCTGGGGAGCCAGGGTGTCCAGTTGGATGCCGAGGGACCCTGCGGTGAGCGTCCCTGTGAAAATGGGGGGATCTGCTTTCTCCTGGATGGCCACCCCACCTGCGACTGTTCCACCACTGGCTATGGAGGCAAGCTCTGCTCGGAAGGTAAGACCTTCTCCCTGAGCCCTCTCTTACTAGAGACCCACCCACTGGGGTAGGGTGAGGGCCAAGACCCTTGACAGAAACCAACACTGCGGTGGAAGACCATCTTTAGTTATGTGTTAGATAATCCAGTCCCTTTCCCTGAGGAGGGGGTGGAAATCCTTTGATTGCTCTCAATAGGAAACCCAACAGATCTCAGCAAGAAGAGGATCCTGGCTACTCAGTCCTGGGCTCCTTACTCAAAGGGCTAGCTGGAGTAGACTGCAGGACGTGGGCCCCAGCTCAGCTCCTTCCATTGGAGCGCAACTTAGCAGGGTCAGCACAGAGCAAGAAATCCAATAGAAATGGGCAATGTGGCTACCGCCGTCCCTCCTGATCCCTTGAGAGTTGGACCCTTGGGATGGATGGGAAACTCCCCATCATTTCCTCCTTAACCCCCAGGATGAAGAATGCCTGTGCAAAGGAGAATGAGGGTGGATGGAGTGCAGGCCATGCTTGGCCCGCTGTCATCCCAGCCCTTCCCCTGGCTCCTCCTCCCACAGTCTTTGGGGGAGGTGTCTGGAGGGTGGATGAGGCAACTGGGGATGGGCCTACTCAGCACCTTGTTCTAGCAGCAGGATTTTTCATATGAGGTTCTTTCCTGCCCTCCCTTCAGCTCTCCGTGTACTGAGAATGGTACAGGAAAACATGGAAACTGACAGGACCCTTGTCCAGTCAAGCACCTGAGGGGGCTGGTAATACTCAGCATAACCTTGGAGAGGCCCCCCCCCCCCAAGTTCAATTACAGCTTCCCAGGGAGAGGGAAGGGGGGACTCATGCCCAAAGACTTAGACTGCCTTCACCTCATTCACCGAATTCTGACTGTTTGGGATTACGTGTGAGAGGAAGTGGTCTAGCCTCTACTTTGACAAATACTTAAAATCCGGATTCCTGGACTCCGGGACTCACTGAAGGCCTAGCTTCGAGCAGGAGGGAGTGTTGAAGTGATGAAGAATGTGAGAACTGACCACAGGGGTATGTGTGCTGGGAGGCTGGGATGGGGAAGAGGTAAAGAAATTTGATTTCCTCCTATTCTTTTGGAGTCAAGCCCAGGATTCTTCTAGAAATGTGTTGCCATCCCATGCTGGTCTCTCCATGGAAGTGGTGGGATGGTGTAGGGCAGAACAGTGGTTCTCAACCTTGGCAGCAGATATTAGGATCACTTAAGGAGTTTAAAAACTCTCGGCCCACCTTATGGACCAGTTCAATCAGAATTTTTTGGGGCATGGGATCCAAGCATCTGTATATTTTTAAACTCCCCAGGTGATTCTATTGTGCAGCCAAGATTGAGAAGCAACAGGACAAGGGAGGTCAGTTAAGTGGGGCCAGATGTGTGTCTCAGCACTGACTCCCAGGGTTTCTTCCTTTTGGTGAGGCCCATGCCTTGTGGTTTGTAATTAAAAATAGCATCTGCAGTTCCTGAAACCATCCCACAACAGACCACCCAGCCTAAAGCAGGTTGTAATTGATATGAAATTTAGCCGTAATTATTAAAAAAAATTTTTTTTAAATCAAAGCCAAGTTTATTTCATAGGTGGTACTTGCTGGAGACGAGGACACCTTGAGGGGTCTTGTTGGAGGCCCCTTCGTAGGTCATGTAGGGGCTACTGTGGAAGCCCTGCCCAGGTCTCTACGGCTGCTTTCCTGGGCTGGGCTGCACTGGGCATTGCGTCTCCCTTCCTGTGGGTGGGCTGCAGGAGAGGGAGAGTCAAGACATGCATGCCACCTTTTTTTGTTTTTTTTTCCCCCACGGAGCCCATTAGAAAAGCGGACAGGGAAGAGGAGCCGAGGCAACCCCAACCCACAAAGCCACTTTGGGAATGTGGTTATTGAAGCACTTCTTAGAAGCAGGTGCCTTCTGGAGCTCACTGCTATTCCAAAGCTTCTTGGCTTTGGAGAAAGTTCTGCCCGAAGACGCTGACATGATGATCACTTGTTTCCTCCTTCGCCCAAAGGATCTGTTCTGTTCTCAGAACTTGCATTGAAAGCTGGCATTCTTCCTTTCTAGGGACTAGGGTGTTTGCAAGTGTGTTGTTAACTTGCTGATTATCCCTGATTGCATTTTTTGTGTTTAAAAAGAACTCATTTCCTCTGGGCAGGTCTGGATCAGCACTTTTCTGCAGGAAGAATCTCTATGCTGTATATGTGTACAATTTGTCTTCTCTCTCTTTTAGGGTGTGTGTGTGTCTGTGTCTGTGTGTCTGTGTGTGGCTGTGTCTGTGTATGTTTCAGGTCTCTCTCCAGCGGCATTTCTTTAGAGCAGATTGTAGGCAGTCAATTTTTTAATAGCTAAATACAACATGGATATTTTAATAATAGTTCTTTCTGCAGGGTTCCGATCATCTAGTGACTGTGGATTGATACCTCTGTCTGAAGAAGGCAAACACACAGCACAGCTATTTATTCTCCTGATACATAAATAGAGTAAATGAACTCTGTAGTAACAGTAACACTTGGTTGGCTTGGAACAGAGCAGTGCAAAGGTTGAGGTGAGGGTGGATGTTGGGAGAGGTATCAGAATTTACTGTTGATAACTTAGAGCCTGTTGATCCTGGTAATTGTTATCATGTCTAATCAATCACAAAAATGCATCACAGGCTTTTAGAAAAGATCTGTCTCTCCACACATAGTTAATTCTTAGATAGTAGGCAGGGATGGGGTGGGGGGAGGATACTCAACTGTAAAATATTAAGGGGAAAAAATTACAGCAACTGCCAAGTGCAAGTAGATCTTGCACAAAACAAGATAAATGCCTAAATAAATGCCTCCACATTTTCCTAAAGATGATTTGGTGAAGCGGGTAGTGAGGATGCATCCATTCCCCACCCTGCCCACTTTCAGCTGCACATGTTATAGACCTGAAATCAGGGTACTTATTCCATGGACCAGGCATCTGATTGTCTCGGTTTGTAGGATAGGCCTTGACGTTTGATCATGTGAGGCTTGTACCCAGGATGGAAGATACGTTTTGTACTTCATGCTTTAGCAGTTCAGGAGCAGGAAAAGCTGGGAGGGCTCTTGCAGCTTTAGATGGATGTGGTCGGGGCCTGTTGGAGGCGCTCTCTGGTCCATTAGCCGCTAGCATGCCCGCGGCATTGAGGTTTGCTTGGCCTGTCTGTTTCCATGCCTTGACGGCTCCAAAATGTCTCCATGCTTCACCCTGGGAAGAATGCACAGATGGGCCCGTCTCCTTTATGTGCTTTGGGCTGTTTTGATCCCCCAGTGGGTATTTCTTTAGGAAAGACCCAGAAGACACCAGAGATAGCTGTCGTGAACAAGTTGAGCCTGGAGGGTCAGAGGTTGTGGACTCAGTATCTTCTTTCATGTAGTGAAATGTTACTCACTATGGCTACAGGCAGAACTCCACACAGCCTGCTTGAGAAAACTTCATTCGAAGGCTCCCAACCTAATTAACGGTCACATTGAACATTCTAGCACGTGATGGAGAAGAGGTCCCAGAGTTTTACTTCTAGGTGTTATGTTTATAAATAAAATGTTTTGGTGTTCAACTTCAGACTTGTTCATGTTGACATTTAATCTTGCCTTTTTAGTAAGGGTCTTGGAGGACAGAAGAAGTGCAGATAGTTCAAAATGGTTTTAAAATTATGCGTATCTGTTTTGGAAGATAGTCAGGCTACAGCATCTTCACTGGTTTTGGTCTAGCCCAGTCTGTCCTGTTACGGGTAGCCTGGAATCTCACTGGGCAATGAAGAGGTATCCTGAGCTCCCCCTAGAGAGCCATCCCCTCCCAGGTCATTGAGAGTTTATTATTACCTTGAAATGAGTTTAAAATTGATTGTTTATTTTTAAACCATTCTTAGTTATGAATGTGCATGTATTGAATTTCTTAACAATCTTACGGTCATGAAGAATTGATTTGCTCCCGAGGTGTGTACATTTCAGTACCACTCTTACTGAAGAGCTCATTTAGTGTGACATCAGCCTGTTGCCTGTGGGGTAGGGCCAGGGAAAGAAGGAGAAGGCATCACATGTTGATTTCTCCTTCCAAGTTTCATTACGTGGGCTTACCTATGTCATATACCACTTGTGTGTCCACATTTTTGGGTTCATTCAGTGAAGAGGCATGAGGTCTTACTCAGTTGGGGAAAAAAAAGTTCATTGTTTGCTCTCTCTTCCTGCTGCCTTGGGCAGGTGCCCAGACCAGAAGCTGCTGTCTTGAGTCTCAGCTCTTAAGTTTTCAGGTGTTTTGATCCCACAGTGAGGTACAGGGGTGGGTGTCAGTGGTAGGGGCCAGAGCCTTATTACAAGCATATTGCTGAGTGGTACCCAAGGGCCTCCCCTTCGCATCCCTGACGTCCTACCCAGGTTGGTTGGATTGATGACTCAACACTGCCGTGTGGCCTTGGTATGCCGTCCTGAAAGTGAGTTTCAATTACTTTTCTTTTTATTGAGAATTTTGTGACTCTTTCCGCATTTATCAAAGCCAGAACTGGGATGGAATGGTATACCAAGAGACTGCTTGCCCCTAAGCATTTACCAAGGGCCAAAGACAAAGGGTGCTGGAGTTAAGGCACCGGTGATGGCCCCAGCTGATCCTTCTGTTCTGGGCATTTGTGTAAAAACACAAACATCTCTCCTCCCCTTCCCCAGCGCGCTTCCAGCCGGAATTGTAACATGGCATTGTTGTCCCTAACCTGTGCCGACCCTGCCTGGCCTGGGGCTGGGGGCTGCAGGGGAGTGGTAAGTAATCAGAGAGTAAAGACTGTCTCCTTGCAGAATCTTTCTCCCTGGTGGGGAGACGGCAGCCCAGAAGGGAGGCCTTACAACATGCACAAAGGAGAACTGTGGCTTCGAGACTGGGTTCCCACCCAGCATTCAGGCGTTAGGTGCGACCAGCCCAGCCAGCCAGCAGGGGCTGTTGCTAAACGGAGCCTGAATAGGGGTCTGATTGCTCCTTTTTCCTCCTCTTCTCCTGATTACCAAGTGAGATTTCCTGGGTATGC